CTTGGATTTGGTCTTCACTAGTTTCTGTTGCATTCGGTGGAATGATGATCTTGATCTTTGCAAAAGCTTTCGGCTTCTCCTTTTCTTTCTCTTTTGGCCTGTTTCCTTTGCTTGGAAATTCATCTAAGATAGTAGGATAGTACATTTTTCTGTCCACATTGAGGAAAACAGCGTGCCGGTTTGCATGATCGATAATTGCTCCCACCGTAGCTAGGAATGGCCTCCCGAAAATGAGTGGCCTCTCCTTGTCTTTATCCATCTCCAGAACTTGGAAATCTGCTGGAACAATCTTATCTCCCACTCGAACTTGTAGATCATGAATCGCCCCTTCAGTATCTTTTTGAGATGAATCTCCAAAGATAACATTAACCGTCGATGTCCTTAAGGTTTTTATGCCCAATTTTTCGGCAAATGTCTTAGATATGATGTCGACATTGGCTCCGGAATCGCACAAGCAGTCTGTAAACTTGATTCCTGAAATGAAACACTGGAAAACAAAACGTCCCGGATCATCGGCTTTGGTAAGCCTTTGAAACGGTGATCGTTCGGGTACCTTAAACGGCGGCTGCTTGGGATCGATATCCTTGTACAGAGGTACAAAGATTGGGGTTTCTTCTTTCTTTCCATCGGTTCTGGACTCTTCTTCATCCTCTCGAGCATGATCACCTTCTATGTGATCATTCTCTTCGTTTTCTCCATGTTCGGACCCTTCTTGGTCCATATTTAAATTTCGATTAATAGGATCTCCAGGCTGGTCGTCGTTGGCCATTCCTTGCGTTCGTCTAAGTCTTCGAAGTTCTCTTTCGTGTCTGTCTATCTCGTCTAGAATTGGAATGTGTCCTGCAGGTCTACGCCTGGTATTCATGCAATTCAGAGAAAGACAAAAGAAGGGAAAGATAGTTCAGAAAAACTTTAAGAAAGAACTAGAGATCAGGTGTCTAGAATAGAAGTTAAAACAAGAAAAATAGCAAAAGGCAGCGAAACAAATCCCCGGCAATGGCGCCAAAACCTTGATGCGGTTGTGCTGAGTGTGTCAACTACGTGAGGGAACAAGTTTTACCCTTAACAAAACAAAAGAAAGCCGCAAGTGCACAGCTAATCTGTTGCAGTATTTAGGGATCGAATCCACAGAGATTTATGTGCCTGGTATTCTTCTACGGTTTTTAACTTTATGTCTAGACTAAATTGGTTTTAAAGGTTGGTTGTTTTTCTCGAATTTAAACTAAAGCAAAAGAAAGTAAATAAATCTATCCTAAAAAGCAAGTAAAGAAATCGAATGAAAGGCAGTAGAACAAGTAGAATATCGAACTAAACAAAGATAAGGCAAGTAAAATATCGCATGAAATGTAAATAAAGCAAGTAAATAACGAACTAAGGAAATTAAAATGCAGGTCTAAGAAAGCATGTAAAAATCGATGGAAATTGTAAACTATGGCTAAAAACGCTGAGCTTTTGGGAACTCTAAGGGATCATAATCGGTTTTAACATTAGGGTAGATAGATTGGGATTGACGGATAACAATATATGGGTTCTAGAGCTAGAGTACGGCGGTATGACTACGTCACTGTCGTGATCATAACCAACTGTTTCTCGCAACCCTGACCAGTAGGTTTCCACTCTGGCCCTGGAAGGGAGAGAACGCAAGAGCTGCATAAGACTCGTCAATACTCACAATCTCGCCGCAGGTAGGTTTCCACTCCTACGGAAAAATCGCCTGTTTCATTTTAGGGCTGATACTTAATGAAAACTTTCGCAACACTAACTATCTAGATCAGATACTAGGTGATCAATCAAGCATACATGCAATAAGAACAAGAATAAACAGAGAACAGGTCGAAATCCCAGATCTATAAACCTAGATGTCTTAATCGATTATGAGAGCCCCTTTCGGGAACCCTAAGCCCAACTCGGGATCTACTCAGACATGGCTGAGTTCGACATCATCATTGGTTTCAATAAAAGTAATGAAAAACAGTAAAGAAAAGAGATAAAGAAAGCTTCTCTATTGAAGAACTCGGACTTGAACAATCTTCTACAAAAATCTCATAAAAACGGCTAAAGGAAAAAGGGTTTCTGCAAAGTGTGTAAAGCTCTCTCTAAAAACGACCAAAATGACATGTATTTATAGTCTCCAATGCTCCATGGTCTCTAGGGTTCCGGAATTGAGGCTGGGAATGACTTTGGGCTTCAGATAAGTGGGCTTTAAGTCGGAGCTTGAATGCCGCGGTCGGGAGTGCTGTGACCGCGGCAATTGGCTTGTTTCCCGCGGTCGGGAAGCTTCTGACCGCGGCAAATAGGTTGCTGGCCGCGGTCGCGTGAGCTGCTGGCCGACTCCGCGTGGCTTCGGGGCTAATGGATTATCTTGAGATCCAACCGTTGGAATGTCTCCAAACCAAGTGCATTTGAAAGCAAGTTGATTCTTCTATAAGTTGTCCAATTTTGGGGGTGATCAGACGGTGAGAAGGTCTTCGTCTCTCCATGAGAGTTCTGACGGTCTGCATTTATCCAAAAGAGTCTTTTTGTTCCATTTTGTGCCTCTTTATCCCAAATTACCTGAAAAGTCTTTTAAAATCCGGAAACATAGAAATCCTTTGAAAACCTTTGAAAATGGAGTAAAAAAACCTGTAAAAGATATTAAAGTGATCCATAAAAATGGTCAAAATCCGGTGTTATCAAAAGGTTGAGAGGTGCTTTCTTTACCATGACTCTTTTCAAATGGTTTTATCGAAACCTTGGGGACGATGCAGTTTTGGGAGCGAGTACATGGTCAACTTTGTTCGCTATGAGTATTTGGTGGGGATGGAAGTGGCGTTGTGGGAACGTGTTTGGGAGCTATGGGAAATGTCGTGATTGAGTTTGGTTCTTGAAAGACTTGGCACGGAAAGTTTCACTAGCTCATTTGAAGGAGAAGAAGAAAGTGCAAGTTTCTTTACCCCGGATTGAGAGATTGATTACTTGGGTTTGGCCAGGAGAGGAATGGATGAAGATGAACACAGATGGAGCTTCGCGGGGTAACCCTGGTTTGGCAACCTCTAGGGGTGTTCTACGGGATGAGATTGGGTCTTGGTGTGTGGGTTTTGCCTTGAATATAAGGATATGCTCGGCACCGTTAGCTGAACTTTGGGGAGTTTACTATGGGCTGGTGGTGGCTTGGGAGAGGAAAGTTACTCGACTAGAGGTGGAGGTGGATTCGGAGGTTGTAGTGGGTTTTCTGACGACAGGGATTAGTGCATCACACCCGCTGTCATTTCTGGTACGCTTGTGCCACGGCTTCATATCGAGGGACTGGATTGTCCGTATTTCTCACTTGTATAGGGAGGCTAACCGTCTGGCTGATGGATTAGTTAACTATGCGTTTACCTTACCGCTGGGTTTTCATTTAATGGAGTTGGTTCCAGATGATGTTAAGTTGTTATTGTTAGGGGATATAAGTGGAGCTACGGTTTCACTACGAGTCCGAATGTAATTGTTTGAGACTTCTTTAATAAAATGGGGGGACCTGTTGTCTTCACCGCCTACGACCAAAAAAAAAAAGAAGAGTGGGTAAGATCTGTGAGAGAGAGAGAGAGATAAAAATTCATTGTTCTTTAATCGTTATCTTAAGGATTATTTGTTATTATACTCTCTGATTTTCGTCAAGCTAAGACGTTAAAGATCTTGTGTCAAACATCTTCGTCTTCTTTCTCTAGCATTACTTTGACTGGTAATTATTCCCTTCCATATAAAGCAAATTTATAAATCCAAGATCCTTTCAAATTTGAGGTATGGTCTATTATATATATGTATAACCATTTCCGTAGTTTTGTTTAAAAAGTGTTATGTGCATTGACCATAGCCATTTTATTTTCTCTTCTCAAAACTCAAGCTAAATATCTAGAATCTGCAGCTTCCATGTAAAATTTGGTAATGGATAGGGAAAGAAACGTACGGCAAAAAAATCCATGAATTCTCAACCTTTGTATATTTAGATCCAACAAGATGATAAAAACAAACAAGTCTTTCATAGTTCAATCATCTCATCACTTATTGCTTGTGCTCTGTGATGAGGACATGGCCCCTAAAGATACTTTTCTCACCATGAAGAACCCTCCAAGGACAAGATCAGGATTTAGAAAGTTTAGAGAAGAGTTCAACAATGCCATGGACACCCTGATCAACCAAAGAAGCTTAGAAGACATCACCAAAGGCATTGCTCAACTCGACCTCGAGCAACCGCTTCTCAACCAAGTAGCAATGAGTTTAACGAAGGACAAGATGCTATTCATACAAGACAAGGACCAGAGCGAGGAAGAACTAAAGCTTGAAGATCAAGATCATGGCGATACAAGCATCAAGTCTACACCAACTGAGGAATGGCCACTAATAAAGACTCAAGGAGCTCGCATGATCTTCTCCATTGAAGCTACAAACGACTAAGTGTCAAAACGACACCAAGGTGAGTGTTTGGTTTAATTATAATTTTAAACTAACGAGTTTCCCTCTTTTTGTTTTGCAGAATTTGTTTTAAGGTCCTTATTAGTTATATTTCCTTTAATTTTAGTCGAGAACTTTATTAATGTTTCCATTTCGCTTTATCTACTTTTCCAAGAGTCTGTTGCAAGTTTTCTTTCCTTTTCTTGAGTCTCTGTCGACCCTAGAAGGTCAAGGCCGAAGGACTGTTTATAAAGTCTCACATGCGGCATTGTAAGACACAACTTTTTACCCTAAATCAATAAAGAGCGTATTTCTTAGAGCAGCCGCCTCTCTCTCCAAGTTCTTGAACATTTGTGTGGTTTCCCCTTGTGTTCTTGAGTTCACCGACTTATCACAGCCTCTCCATCAGCTGTGTGGCTTCACATCGATCCCTTGGTCATTTTGTTCTACATTCATTCGCTAATCTAAATAAAGAGAACCTCTCGGCCAGTTACTTAGGTTCCATCTCTCCGCACTCAATCATATTTCCATCTAAGTGAAGAGAGCCTCTCGGCCAATCACTCGGATCCATCCCCACTACCCCGATCTTATATCACTCTGATTACTGAGTTCCCCGGGAAATTCAAAACCCAGGATGTGTTTGTATCCGTAATAACTGTTTCTCGTTTTTATTGTTTAGCTAAGAAAAAAAAACAATGTTATTTGATTTAAAAAGAAAGACAAGAGAAAGAGGAGATTTAGTTGTCGCCATAGATCCACTTCTCAGCGTTATTGGTGTAAGAAACAAGTTCTTGAGGCTTAAACCACAGATTGATCTCATCTTTTGCTGTCTCTGGTCCATCACTTCCATGGATTATGTTCCTGCAATTTCACATTTCAATAACCAAACCAAATCTTCACGATCTCGAATATTAGAAAGACAAAAACAGAACATTACCTTCCAACAACAACTGCTAGATCTCCTCGGATTGTTCCAGGCTCAGACTTCTGAGGATCGGTGGCTCCAATCAGTTTACGTCCGTATCTGATCACTCCTTCTCCTTCCCATACCTAAAACGAACGAGTCATCTTAGTCGATTTGCTTAGAGTTTGTTGTTAAATTCAAAAAGCTGAATGTGGAGAGTTTTTTCTCTTACCATGGCGATAACAGGACCAGAGCTAAGGAAGTCACACAAGCCATTGAAGAAAGGTCTTTCCTTGAGATCATGGTAATGCTTCTGTGCGAAATCTTTGGAAGGAACGACGACTTTGATACCAACAAGCTTGAAGCCCTTTCGCTCGAATCGAGAAACGATTTCCGATATCTGGTGATTCACGAGACAAGATTTGCACATATGAATAAAAAACTACACATACACATGAAGACCAATCAAGACTAAGCAGCAAAGCAAGCTTTTTTATTTTTAATTACCAGTCCTCGTTGAACTCCATCAGGTTTGATAGCAATGAAAGTGCGTTCCATCTGATTTGAGCAGAAAAGGTTCAACAACGAAGAACATAGAGCAAAACATATACATAGAAAATGGACGATTATTATTTACCTCAGCAGCAAGAACCTCCTGATCTTGAAGCATCAAGGCTATACCAGAAACAATCAAAAGAAAGCATGTGTCAATACTCTCCCCCACAAACACGATTTTTTAACTAATGGAGTGTGTATCCTATTCAATGTGATTGAGAGAAATCTTTTGGCTACAATTTTTTCCGTTTCTATACAAATAACAATGGTTAAAACCTGCAGCAGGAAGAGCTAAGAGTCCAGTGAGCCAGCTCTTTGAAGCAACACCAGAACCTGATGATCTTGCAAAGTTAGATGCATAGAGAGGCATCTTTCCAGATGCAGAAACCGCTGCTGCTGCACCAATGGCTCGTCCTTCTGAAAAACAATTTCAAGATCTTAAAAAGGTTAATTTTGGCTAAGCAACTTAGGTATGCTATGTATGAGATCCCAAATTCAGATTGTTCTTTTGTAATCATCACAGAGCAATGAATCCATCAGATCAAATAAATTACTCTTCACCAAATTTAACTTCACACTGTTAATAAAGGATTTTATATTAATTTTCATCAAATCCATAAATTGAAACGGATTCGAGAATCAAATTTTGAATAGCGAATGATTCCACAGATTAATCAGACAATCGATCGAGGAATCTAAAGCACATGAACTTATATCTTCGAGATTTTGTACAGAAAACAATAAAACAGAGAGAGAATCGGAACGTACCGGAGAAGAAACGAGCATTTTTAGCTGAAGAAAGAATAGATCTCGCGGCTTTTGAAGCAGATCTGCAGATTTGGGAGCTCATTTTTTTGTTCACAGAGAAAGAGAAAGGTGAGAGAAGAGGAGTGAGAGTGACGACGAATGATAAAAACGGAAGTGAAAGTGAGGCCTCGGAAAATGTGGAGACGGTGAGACTTGTTTGGCGGATTTTATAACCACGTGGTTCGGATCGGGTTTGTATCCAATTGGGTCAGAAAAAAACCCTCCGTAAAACATGTTTATTGCAGGGTTCTTGATGAATTTCTTAAAATTAATTGGAGTTATAATAAATCAAAAACAGAAAATAAAATAATAATCGATCCTTATTTCAGAATTTGAAGAATCGGTTCTTCTAATGACATGTGTTGGTTCGCTAAACCTTTTCTCTCTCTTCTTTTCTTTTTACTTCTTTCTGTATCTCTTTTCTGACTCATCTCTATTAAAAAAACATTAATTCTCCACTCTTTTATTTATAATTAAATATTATTTAAGAATTTTGTATGAATTCTCCTATAAACATGCTCAAGATTTGATTTATCACATGTTCAAGAAGACTTCTAGTAGCCTTGAAATTATTATCCGGTATTCGGTTTCCGATCCTATTCGATCCGTAAAAACTGAATATTTGTGTAGTTCGAATCCGGATCCAGATAATAAAATTAAGTATTCAGTTATTTTGGATATGGATCTGAATAATAGAAAATTTTGAAACCGGATATCCGTTATCCGTTATTTATTTGTTAAATATTTATTTATTTTTTGATAATATTTATTTTTGAGTGTGAAATTTGGATGAGGTAAAAATCAATTTAAAAATCTTTAGACATGCATTCATTTTTTGTTTTAATTATGTTTGAAAATTGTTTTTTTTAAAACTTCTTTATATATGATTGAAATTCATATTGTATGATAATATTTTATTTCAGATTGTAAGAGAAGAACATGAAAATGGATAGCACATGGATATGGAGATAAATTAATCTTTTATTACTATTTTTTCTTTTGCTATGTAAACTTTTAAACTTTGTGCTATTTGAATCCTACTTAGATGCTTTTTAATTTTTGTTATTTGTAACTTTTGTTATGATGATACATTTTAATTATCTACGTTATCTCATTATAATTTTAAAAAATTAAAGATTTTTTTTTCTAAATCAATAAAACCAGATATCCGATCGGATATCTATAAATATTCGGTTCAAATCGGATATCCAGAGTTTTTGGATCCGGATCTGAATAGTAAAATTGATTATCCAGCGGATCCGTATATTTTAAAAATTTTGGATATCCGGCTCCGATCCAGGCCTCTTAGTAAGCCATTTCTGATCCAGTAAAAGCCCTTTGTTGCAGGATCCTCCTATTGTTTTGCTCATAACAATTACAAATTCCTAGAGTGATGATTTTGATTTTTGGTACCAGCAATTGAATTTGGTGTATACAACAAATGTCCTGATTAATAATCTGATATTTTTTAAGAGAAAACTCAATCTTTTTCTAAATTATAGTTAGTATCTATATTGTCAAGACAATCAAAAATTCAAAATTGTGTAGTACAATGATGACCAAGTTGAATTATCTACTATTCATAAATTTAAAATAATGATAGGTATAAAACACAATTTTATAAAATTTAGTGATTAAAAATAATTAAACTAACTCAATAATTTATATTAGAGAGATGTGAATAACCCAACAATGATTTGGAATTTATACATTTTCAATGCTTTAAATACTTGCAGAATTATTTTTTGCAGCAAATTAAAAAATACATTTATCGCAAAATGAGTTGTTTATAGTTGTAACTAAAAACTGATATAGTTAGGGGGTGTGAATGGTAAAAACTTATAATCGTATTTAAGAAGAGTTATGAGGGAAATATAAGAGGGAAAGGAAAAGTTATTATAAAATTAAATAAACTCAAATTATTACTTTTTATTTCATTCTTATGTTACTTCTTTTACCACATTGTTTCAAATTAATGTAAAGTTGTGATGTTTTTTTTTTCTTAACAGGTTTTTTTTATATGGGTTATTAAAGGGGGATAAATTTATTAATATATATTTTTTAGACTTTCTGAAAAGATGTCTCTCAAATAATATGACTGGTAACAATAAATGTGGAACCAAAAATCTCTCATTATAACACGAAAAAACTTTCTGATAAATTTTGGTTTTGACTTTCTTATAGTTTTTGGTATTTGCATAAAAATGATTAAGAAAAAGAAATTTACAAGCTTTTAGGATTAACATAAATCCAAATGTTTGAATTGAATTTTTAAAAAGAATATTTTTTTTTATTGTAGGAAAACTAAATGTTTCAAAACTTGATTAATGAGTTTATGAAAAACAACAACCAAACACTTTTTAAAAATCTACACTAGTTCAAGAACATATGGATATTTATTATTATATACTTATTTGTGTAGTGATTTGATGATGTGTCCCGCTCACAGCGATTTTCACAGTGTTTCGCTTACGTGTTAGCTCCAGAATGAATTTCAGCTATAAAAAGACTATTTAACCCTATTTTGCAATTACATGTCATTTTTTTATTGGTTCTTATCTAATGATGTGTAAAAAAAAACATAAAACAAACCGGTCTAAATTATTATGGTTTAATGTTCAATTTCATAGTCAATCAAACCGTTTTTAAAATTCTATATATCTCTTAGGGCATTTCCAACCTACCTCTATTTTAGAGGTGAAAATAGAGATTATGCTCCAACCCACCTCTATTTACACATCTAAAATAGAGATTACTATTTTTTCCTCCAAATATAGAGGGACTCTATTTTTTCCCTCTATAATAGAAGTGGAATTTTTTATTTGTAAAATAATCTTTTAACTTTTAAATCTTTTTATTTATGCAAAAAGTATAATTTTTTGTGAATATAAATATGATAATTTTGGTTATAATTTAAAAAAACATATAATATTATTAAATATAAAAATTTTCATTGAAATTAAACTACAAAAAGTAATTGCAAATTAAAAATACATAAAAATAAACGAAAAATAACAGCAATTTTTTTTTTAATTTATGAATTTTAACTTCTAATATTATTATAATATGTTGAAACTTTCATAAAAAAGTAACACAAATGGGATTAATTTAAAAAATTTAGTAGTCAAAGGTTACTATTACTATAATTTATGAAAACTTTTATAAAAAGTAAAATAAAAGATTAATTCACAAATTTTATTTATCAAAGTTAGTATTATAATTTATATAAAGTTTTGTAAAAAAATAAGTGGAGTCAATTCATAAATTTTATTAATAAAAGGTGTTAATAACAAATAACAAAAAAAATATATTGAGAATATTCCTTTTTAGAGAGAAAAATAGAGGTAACTATTTGAGACAAATGCATCTCTATTTTAGAGTTCCTCTATTTTAGAGAAAAAAATAGAGGCAACCATTGGAGAAATATCGTGTTTACTATTTCTTATGTTTCTAAAATTTAGAAAAAATCTAACACAAATGTTAAAAGAAACAAAAAATAGAAACTACTTAAAAAGTAATGGAATGTTGTTTCAAAACAAAAAAAACTGAAATTTTTAAAAAAATTCTAACTAAAAAGTTAAAAAAAAAAAAAATATCTAACTAATGAAATGACGGTATTTGTGATGTTTGAAACACATAAAACAATGATAAAAATCGAACAAGTTCATATGATACTTCAAAAAATTAGATCTAAAATATATAGAAAAGTGATCCAAAGATCTCAAAACTATTTAAACTAAATTATTTAGAGGGTAGTTTTGAAAATAAGGACGTTTTTAAGTTTTAATTTGAGAAAAGGGTAGTTTTAAGTTTTAATTGGTCGGGGTAGGGACATATTTTCATAATGGCAGACTTACCCTTCTTTCTGAGAGAGAGAGAGACAGTGCAGTCTGTTCCTTAGAGAGAGATAGACGCAGAAAATATCGTGGGTCCCAGGTGAAATCTACGTCCGGGCGCGTAACAGGCGGGAAGAGAGCACTCACACGCGTGATTGGGTCGTTTTTTGGGCCTGATTTCGAATTTGGAATGAAATTCCCAAAAACCACCTTACTGGGCCTCGGTTATGGGCCGGAAACTACCCAACTATTTACACGAAAAACTTCCTTTCCCATTCTCTTTTTAATTTTGGCGGGAAAATTGTGGGTAATTAGCAATAATGGAGATAAATTGGTAAAAATATGAAACAAAGTATCCTAACCAAATTAGAAACCCTAGTTTCCCTTTCCAGAAGATGTTGAAATTGAAGGGGAAATTATGCGATGATCAAGAGGACAACAACCACGGTTAGTTACTTAATCCTATTATTGTACACCCATAGATTTGTCATTGTTATTTTCGAATTTTTTTTCGGTCTGGTGTTCGCTATTTGCCAATAGTTTTATAGATATGGTGTTCACGAATTGCAGTGGATGCGTTCATTCTTGTTATGGCGGGAACGTGGATAAGGTACTATACAGGAGAATGGGATTTCAAAATGGACATATCTCGTCGTGGAAGGTGCATAAATTGCAAAGATGTGTCCGGACCAGATGATTTGAGAAATCTGATTGCGCATGAGTTCGGATTAGACACGAGAGTTGTTTCGGTGGAGATTTCCTACTGGTTTGATGATGTTCTAGCTGAGCTTAATGGTGATGGGAGTTGTCCATGTGTAATAGTTACTCCTCGAGAGTTCAAATTCTTCCTTTCGCTGCATAAGTCTGACAAGTCTGTGAATTTATTTGTCACATTCAAGGAGTCAGTAAATGGTGAAATGGTGAGATTGAAACGGAAGGAAAGTCTTGAAGTTCAAATTGCGAGGGAACGGCGAAAGTCCTTAGGGCCAACAAACTTCATTGCCTCTTCTTCGGCTGAGTCTAGACAACCCGATGATGAAGCAGATGATGAAGATATCGATGATTGTTTGCTGATATCACATGCGGAGAAAGTAGAGGCAGAGGCCGCAATGAACACCTCCAAAGGTGTACAACCTGAAGCTGTCTATGTAATCCATCCTCAAATGGGATTAAAAATGTCCCAGGAATCAGAGAAAGTACAGGCTGAGGCCAGCACTAACACCTCCGTTAATGTAAAACCGGATGTTCCAAGTCACGCTGTCTCTGTTAACACCCCTGAGTTGGAATTAAAAATGTCCCAGGAATCAGACGAGGCGAGAG